GTTACACTTCTTCCTTTGATCCTTTTAGCTGTCCATGGAAATTTCAATACTCTTTGGGAGTACATGATTCAAAAGCATCATTTCTTCTTTGTCTTCCGTATTCAATGTCCAACTTTCACATGCTTATAAGACAAATATGATGGTCTGGGTCAGGTGCACCTCAGTTTGCATAGTGACATCTTGGCTTTTCAGGACTCTAGAGGTACTGTACAGCAGACTTAACCAAGGCAGCCTATCTCTTGACCGCTGCCTCCATAAGCATTGATCGTGAATCCAAGCAAGACAAAATCCTCCAATTTGGCTCCATTTATCATGATGCTACCTATTGGTGCAGTTGTGAGGATGTTGGTCTTCTTCACATTGAGTTCTGATTTATACTGAAGACAGAAATCCTTGATCTTCATCAGTAAAGGCTTCAAGTTCTCACAGTAAGCAAGGTTGTGTCATCTATTTATCACAGATTGTTGTTAAACTTTTTTCCAATTCTGATGCAACATTCTTCTTCATATAAACCTGCTTCTCTGATGATATGCTCAGCATTAAGATTGAATAAGTATGGTGAAAGGATACAACCTCGGCACACACATTTCCTGATTTTAAACCATGCAGTATGCTCTTATTCTGTTTGCACAGTTGCCTCTTGATCCATGTAAAAGATCCACATGAGCACAATGAGATGTTCTGGAATTTCCATTCTTCTCAAGGTTATCCATAGTTTGTTATGAGCCATACAGTTGAATGCCTTGATATAGTCAATGAAACACAAATAAACATCTTTCTGTTATTCTCTGCTTTGAGCCAAGATCCATCTGACATCAGCAATGATACACCTTGTTCCACAACCTTTTCTAAATCAGGCTTAAGCCTCTAGCAGCTCCCTGTTAATGTACTATTGAAACTGTTGTTGGATGATATTCAGTAAAACTATACTAGCATTTGATATCAATGACATTGTTCTATAATTTAAACCATCTGTTGCATCACTTTTGTTTGGAATGGATACAAATATGTACCTCACCAGGTCATTTGGCCAAGTAGCTCTCTTCCAAATTTCAGGGTATAGGTGAATAAGTGTTTCCAGTGCTTCATCAGCTTGTTGAAACATTTCAATTAGTATTCCATCAATTCCTGGAG